TTTTCTGTATTAACTGTGAATGAATAGAACAAAATAAATTGCCTGTGATGGAAAAAAAATATGGGATGGGATGGAGAGATGCCTCAGTGGTTAAAAGTACTGTCTGCAAAATCATAAGGATAGGAGCTCAGATCCCAGTACCCACATAACAAGTTTGGTGTCCCTTTCATGGCTGTAACCTCAGCTCCAAGAAGGGTGCACATAGGAGGCTAGATGGAACTTACTTACTTCCAGCCTAGCTGAGGAAACATGGGCCCTAGGTTAAGGGAGAGAGTCTGCCTCAAAGTGATAGGTGGAGAGTGATGAAGTAGGCCAACAGATGGCCTCTAATGTCCTCCACACCTATGCAGAGCATCATGCACTTACACACACACACACACACACACACACACACACACACACACACACACACTCATACATGCACATAGATGTAGAGAGAGAGAAAGAGAGACAGAGACAAGAGAAACAGAGAGACAGAGGCATACACTCATGGAAACATATACACATTCATTGATTATGCCATAATTTCAAAAAAATAATCCTGCCTTACAGCGGGGCATGGTGAAATACACCTGTAATGTAACATTGCATGACAATGTATCTGTAATTTCAAAGCCAGCCTGGTCTACATAGTAGTTCTTAGCCACCTAGGTCTTCAAGGTAAGACTCTGTGTCTCAAGAAACAAAATTACAAACGTTACAGAAATCTCAAGTTCAGAAGCACTTTAGTGAGAATCTACCCAAAAGTGGTGATAGATAAGTCCTTGAATACAGTTCTGTGAATTACACCATCCAGTTTCAAGGGACAGGGGAAAGAAAGCCCATCTCAAAAAAAAATTAACAAATGTGAGACATTCAAAGAGACTGGAATTTACTCAAATTTAGAGACTTCATAGCAAAAAGCAAATGCATTTAAATCAGAATTTTCATACAATACTTATGTTAATGTAAAGCATGAACATACATATACATTTGTGTATGTATACATGTGTGTATGTGTATATTTATACATATATATATATATGTATATTGAGAAGGGGTCTCAACTAGCCAAGGCTAGCCTCAATCTCACTATATAGCTAAGGATAACATGGCACACTGGATCCTCCTGTTCCACCTCCTGACTGCTATATTACAGGAACACTACAGTTTAGAACCAGGGCCTTGTGTGTGCTAGGCAAGTGCTCTAGCAACAGAGCCACATCCCAGTTCTTGAAGTGACTATTATGGTTTGAATCTAATATGTTACAGGAAGGTTCACATGTGGGGACTTAGTTTCCAGTAGATGGGCTTCTAGGAAGTAACTGGATCCTGAGGGCTCTGACCTGATCAATGGTTAGTCCTTTAATGGAGTCACAGTGGTGGCATTTTATAGACCCCATGGAAAGTAGGTGGGTGGATCCAGATCTCTGGAGCTGTGTCCAGGTGGATGTCTGTGTCTCCCACACCCTATGTCTCTGCTTCCTGACCACTGGGGTGTCCGTCCCACTACACACTTCTGCCATGAAGCTCTGGATTACCACAGGCCTAGAAACAATGGCATCAGATCACAAAGGTGTGAAACTTCAGAAACTAAGCCAGAATAAATCTTTCTTCTGTTAAGCTGTTTCTCTCAGGTATGTCTGTCTCGGCAAGGAAAAGCTAATTAACATTTTAGTGGTTGATGAAATAGTTCAACAGAATTGACATTTGACCCAGCAATTTTATCTACATTCCTATGAAATCCAAAATTATATGGACAGAAAAAATCCTATACTCAAATATTCATAGAAACAACACACCTGAGAGCCCCAAAGAGGAACCAGCTCTAGTAGTGATTGCTCAATGGTGTGAGAGAAATATCTGACAAGAAGCAACTTTAGTGAAAAAGAGTAGCTTTAGGCTCACAGTTTGAAAAAGTACAATGGCAGTGTACACATGGCAGCAGATGTCTCCATGTAGGTATTTATGTACCAGGGACCAGCCTCAGCAGTTTCAGGGGTCTGAAGGATGGGTTACATCGAAGGCGCAATAAAGGTGATCTTTTTTTCTTGGAAGCTCTAAAAATTAGATGAGGTCTTCCTTGGAATTGTTGGATATAGAAGGACAGAAGTTGCTGACTTTCAGGGCAGATTTCTTGTCGAGGTCATTGTGGCCCACCAGTCATGGAGCTTGGTGTTTGCAGAGGGCTGAGGAGGAACTTAGGCGGCTGCAGGGGTCTTGAGGTCGGAGCAGTCTGTGTGAGAAGGAAATGACTGTCTGGTACATTGACCCCTGTTCTTATTTTTACCTTTTTTGCAAACTTACATGTTGCTAGCCTCTAGGTCAAGTGCTCAGAAGATTGTATAATCATTAATAATAAAAATAGATTATGCTTGCTTTGGTGTTAAGTCTGGGATAGTTCCTGTATTTAGTAAAAGATGATGAAGAGTAGATTGATGATTTTCTAAGAATAACCTTTGAAATCATGAGAACATTTTGTATTGGTTGATTTCCCCTTTTCTTTCTGCTCCCCCCTGCTTATGATAATAAAAGACTGAGGGTACCAGGACAAAAGCAGAAGCTAAGAGAAGCTAGGCAAGCTAAAGAAGCTGTAGCAGAGAAGCTACTTAGCAACTGCAGAAGCCCGTCGTGACCTGTCAGCTTGCATGAACACTGTCTCTGAGTCGTTACTGTGCCTTCCAGGTATCTCATCCTTCGGACCCCTGAAACTGCTGAGGCTGGTCCCTGGCAGTTACAGACCTGGAAATCCTCATTCTTCATGGAACAGGAAGCAAAGAACATACAGGAAGTGGAACCATAGTATTAAACTCTAAGTCCCATCCATCTACAATGGCCATAATCCTAAAGGTTGCATAACCTTCTAATACAGGCCCACAGCTGGGGGTGAGGGCTAAATTTTCAAACACATGAGCTTATTTCATAATTAAAGGTATATGAACTGATAAATGGAAAAGCAAAACATGGCCTTTGCATACAAATTGTTATAATTATTAATAGGGAAAGAAATGCTGGCTCTTGTTACAACATGGATGAACCTTGGAGACATGCTCAGTGAAAGAGGCCAGGCCAGATAGCTGCTGAGAGTGTGATTCAGTCATCTGAAAGGACCAAAAAGGTCAAATCCACAGAGACAGAAAAGAGAATAGAGGTTGTCTCTGGTAGGAATGATGGGATGTGGTACCAGTGGGCATGAAAGGAGGTGGCTCTTTGCAGGAAGATAAAAACGTTCTTAAATCAATTGTGGTAATCAAGCTAAGAAAAAGGTCATTGAATTCTTCACCTTACATGGAGAACTTATCCTCAAGTCACCTCTTAAACCTATGAACTGAAGAGATGATTGTCATATATGGCCAACCTTGAGGGAATGACACTGATGGCTGGGTTACCGGGAACATCCAGGGGGTAGATGGGAGCAAGTGGCATGAGCCCAATTGCCTAGACTCAAATCCCAGCTCTAGTACCTACAGCCAGGAGAGCTTACTCTTAAGTTGTACTTTTGGCTTTATTGGTTGGTTTGTTTTCTCTGTGGACTGGGAAGATGTCTCTGCAGGTAAAGGTGTTTGACACCAAGCCTGGAAATCTGAGTTTAATCCCCAGAACCAACATACTAGAAGAAAGGAACTGACTCTCAAAAGTTGTCTTCTGACAAAAGATAAGCACAATGGCACTGGTGTTGGGTACAAACAAACACACACACACACACACACACACACATACACACAAAAAAAAAAATATTAATAATAATAAAAATAATGATAAAATCTGTAGAAATGGTACAGTAGCTAACAGTACGTACTACTCTTTCAGAGGATCTGGGTTCAATTCTGAGAATCCTCATGGCATCTAAAAACCATCTCTCACTCCAGTTCTAGGAAATCCAATGCCCTCTTCTGATTTCTATGGGCACCAGGCACACATGTAATACATATGTATACATAAGGGCAAAATACACATACATATAACATAAAAATAAGTAAATCTTTAAAGATATTCTTAAACAGAATTGTCTAAGTTACCTCATCAATGAGAGGGACAACAATTCTCTCCAATATATCTACACATGGAGAAGAACCATGTTGGGCATGGAGAATATTTGCAGGGAGACTGCCTCCACAGTAGAGCTGCTCACTACTGTGACCATCACCATCGTTTTCACTGTCATCATTAAGGGACTGCACTGCATTCAGGAAGGAAGGAAACTTTCAGCAACTCACCTGGGGAAACTTGTACAGTCCCAGAAGTCTGGCCATGGAGACAGACAGGGATGACCGCGTGTCCCCAACCAAGGCAGCCTGAAGAGAGCCATGCTGGCATGTGTAGTTGGGGATGGGCTCCTGCTGCCTCGTGAGAAAGCTCATTGTCTCATGGAGGGCTCCATGCACTGAGTCCCCAGAGTTTCTAATAGAGAAGCCCAGTGTCACATTGGGCAACAAGTGAGCACTCCTATTAATCTCCTCGATGGCAAAGACGAAACTCTGGGCCACCCGGTAGCCCCAGTTGGAAACGCTGAGGGAAAGAGAAGCCCACATTCATCACTCATGATGGGGTAAATGGAACAAGAATAAACACAGTGACTCAAGGGATACATGTAAAACCTACATCTCCACTAATACTTGCACAAAGATGTGCAGAGAAACACAGTTTAGAACACAAAAAGGGGATCCAGAGAGAATATGGAGACAGTAATCAGAGGGGCAGTTTCAGAAGACAGGAGGGATAAGTGAAGATATATTAAATAAGCTGGGAGTGGTAGAACACTTTTTAATCCCAGCACTCAGGAGACAGAGGCAGGGGGATCTTCCTGAGTTAGAGGCCAACATGGATTACATAGCCTGACTCAGGCACCAAACCTACATACAGAAACTCTCTGTCATGAAAACAAAGTAAAAACCTATTGCATTGTATGGCTGGTTACAATCAATAGAAACTAATATCTATTTCAGAAGTACTGAACCCAAGAGCCAGAAGACATGGAAATGTGAAATGCTGTCTTTAGAACATGACTCAGACAATGCAGACCTGTGAGCCTGTCAGCAGCCAATCATGCACTGGAAAATTCCTTGTGTGGCCCTACTCCTCCCTGATGAACTATTGTCAACTAATGTATTTGGGGGAGAAGACACTCATTGTCTTCAGTCATGTACCCAATAGGTGAACCCACAAACTCCAAGGACAGTTCCAAACCTGCAACCACACAGATAGCCCTGGTTAAAATCACGGGGTCACATCCCAGTGGTTGTGGCACTTGCCTTTAATCCCAGAATTGGGGAGAAATAGGCAAGTGAAACTTTGTGTGTCCAAGACCAGCCAGGTCTACAAAATGAGTTCTTAAATACCAGGGAAATACAGAGAAATCTTGTCTGGAAAAAACAAAAAAAAAAGAAAAGAAAAGAATCAATGGCTAATGAAACAAAAAGCCATGAATGTGGGTAAGGGACCTGTATAGAGGAGGAAGAAAGGGCAGGTGTGAAAGGAAGGTAAGAGGCAGGGAGGTGAGAATTAAACAAAATGCACATCATAAACATATGAAAGTAACAAAGAAAATGCAATAAAATTGTGAAACATATAACTACAAGGAACACTAAATGAACTCAACAGGTCACATTGATGTATTGATATATTTGTTTGCATATTTACACAACATAATAATTAAGGAATAAAAGACTATGAATAAGAGAAGAAGAGAGAGGCACATGGGATGTGTTGAAAGGAGAAAGGGGAGTTATATATGTGCATACACAAATATGGAGCTGTTCAGACAAAAAGACTCAGTATAGCCCTGGTTGCCTAAAAATCATGGAGATCCACTTGCTTGACTATTGAGTGCTGGGATAAAAGAAAATGCTGCCACATCCAGCTGATGTTGCTGTATTTTTCTAAATGTTAATGTTGAAAGTAGATGTTTTTTGTTTTGATGCAGTCTCCATACCACCTAATCTAACATCACACTCACTGTTTATCAAAAATGAACCCAATAATGGTCTGTATATGTATGTGCATGCATATGTAAGACAGAAGATGACTTCTAGCATGGTCATCAAGCATAGGGTGTGTGTGTGTGTGTGTGTGTGTGTGTGTGTGTGTGTGTGTGTGTGTAGCAGAGTTAGTATGTGTGTGCATGTGTGTATCTCCAAGGGGGTAATGGCTGATGGAATATCAGGATATCTTTCACAACTGCTTTTCCACCTTTTAAAAATATTATTCTATGTGCATGTGCATATATGATGTGTCTGTAGCCCAAAACCTGCTACAACACATAGAGGTCAGGAAACAACTTTTGAGTCAATTCTCTCCTTCTACTTTTATGTGGGTTTCAGAGAGAGCTCAGGTCATCCATAAGGTTTGCATGCCAAGCACTTTACCCCATAAGGCATCTCAAGGGCCCCTCTTCACCTTATTTTGTGAGATTGGTTATCCCATTGAACCTGGACCTCATTCATTCAGATAGGCTCGCCTGCCAGTGACCTTTGGAATCTGCCTGCCTCACTGTTCCTAACCAGGATTACAGATGCTCAAGATGCTAGGCTTTCATGTGGGTGCTGAGAATCCAAACTCAGGTCTTCAGGCTTGCACACAGGGAAAGGTCACCAATACAGGAATTTCCCCAGACCCTAAGACCTAACTTACAGAGTCTCTTATCTCCAATTTCCATGTTAGACTTTAAATGTTCACATCACAAAAACATAAGTATGCAATGTGGTGGGTTTGTTGATGAGTTGATGATATATTCTATCTTGTAAAATGTTCATTAAAATACATCTTTGTACCCAATACACACATACAATTACTACTCATTTTATTTAAAAAAAACAACAACAACTTGGGATCCAGGTATGGTGGCACACATTTGTGACTCCAGCAATGAGCTTGTGGAGGTGGAAAGATAGTGAGTTCTAGGCTAGCATAATCTACACAGTAAGACCTTCTCTCGAAAAAGCAAAAAAAAAAAAAAAAAAAACCTCAAGAACAAGCCATTGTGGCCACTGTGTTGGCCCATGCTTGCAATCCTGAATGTGAGAGCTAGTCTGAACTGCACTGGGAGTTCCAAACTAGTCAGGGCACAAAGTAGGTTACTGCCTCAAAAATTAATAATATAAATGATGATTAATGTGAAAAATCAGTAGTGAAAATCTCTTGCATTTGTAACTGATTACAAAATGAATGTAGTCACTTTAGAAAACTTTCTTAACAACTCTTTTAGACACAGGTCTCATTATATACCCCAATCTTGCCTTACCTAATAATGCTCCTGCCTCAGCTTCCTGAGGGCTAGGAGTGCAGCCATATGCCCTATGCAGCAACAAAAAACCAATAAAGCTAAATACAAACATTTAAAAACCAAATAATATCCCAAATGCTTGTTTTGAAAACTACTCCATGCAACAGTATCTTGAGAAAGATGGGACAAAAATATCCTAAAGTGCAACTGTGGATGGTTCAGTTCATAAGTTTGATCTCCACCACCTAAGGAACTGAGTTGGTGATATGGTCCAATCATCTGAGCACTCAGAAGGTGGATGCAGGAGGATCTGAAATTTAAGGTCATCTTCAACTACCTAGTGAAATGGAGGCTTATGAGCCATAGAAAATAACAAGCAAAAGGAATGTAGTATAGAGGAATCAGGGAGGCTGATAAGTAATGAAAGATCTATTATTTGCACACTAACCCATTCAACAAACACACCTACCTAGGCAGCACTTTAGGAACCACGAATATACAAAAGAATCAAGAATCGCCCCTGGCCTTTGGAGCACATACATTAAAGACAGTACAGGAACAGCCTACATTTCAGTCTGGTACAAACAAGAAAGATGACAGACAGAGGTGATGTAAAAGGAGAAAAACAGAACTACTGCATGTATACAAAGAGAAAAGTGGTGGCCATCTATCTAAGATTATGAGAATCAACCCTTATCAAAGACTTCACACAAGCTTGTAAAGCTGCTTCGGGATTTCAGAGAATCCTATCCCACATCCAGCACTTACCCTGAAGCCACAAGTCCAGACGGTGGGGCAGTGAAGTCAGACAGGTGACCAATAGAGAGGTCAAAGATGGAAAAGCTGCCCCCCACTATTACATCTCCAGGACGGTCAAAGCGAGGCCTCTGACTCGGCAACAGCCAGGCTCTTGGTGCAGAAAAGGCAGACCCAGAGAGAGAGCCAAAGAGAACAGGAAGGAGAGTACACAGCCACATGCCTGCTGGGGGCCAGACAGCCAGTGACAGGACAGCCCCACATGGGGCAGTGGCTAGCAGTGAAGGGGGCTTTTATCTGGGAGACTGCCCTTGATCAAGGACCTCAGGCTAAGACCACACTGGGAGCCTGGGCTTTCAGGCTGTGGGGAGAATATTGATCATGACGTGGTGGAGGTGGGTGGCCCCTAAATCCCAGATCCATTAAAAGTTTTATCCCCTTCTCCTGAGGCTTTCTGGCTTCTCTGCATCCAAGGTCACAGCTCTGGGCATCATCTGCAGACTACAGGAAGGGCGACAATGGGTCTGACTCTCTCCTGGGGGACTTGCAAGTGCAGGACCAGCTGTGCTCAGGGCACTGTTCTGTAGAGAGACCAGGTAGGTACAAGAAACAAATCTTCCAGTAGCTGTAATTAAATATTTTTAACACATCTTTCACACTCTATAGCCTCTGCGTCAACCGTCCTTGTTTCTGTACTATGTTGATCCACCAATCCATGTTCAAGGTGAGCTTTGCTGTTCCGTAAGGAATTTTCAGAGAAGTTTATCATGGATAATTTGAACAGACAAACCACCAACTAGAAAAAAACAATAAATATCCAAGTCTTTGTAGAGTCATGAGAAATCCTCCCAAGAAAATGAACCTTTTTTTCTGTTATTTGAAAATTGATCCCAAGGATGGTAAGGTGGTTTTCAGGAAAACACTCACTTGATACACCAGCCTGATGACCTGTGTGTGATCCCAAGAACCCAAATTGAGGTAGAAGGACAGCACTGGAGAGCACCAACTCTACAAATTGTCCTCTGACTCCACATGCAAGCCATAGTACACGCGCGCGTGCTCGCGCGCACACACACACACAGAGAGAGAGAGAGAGAGAGAGAGAGAGAGAGAGAGAGAGAGTTTATCCATACAAAAACAATATATTCAGATAAGAAAACAAATTCTAAACTATGTTACTCCAACAGATAAGTATAATTTTCTAACACAACCATAATTCCCATATTGAAGCCTAAAAGAGAACCAAAACAATAACTAAGGACCTTAGCAAGTAAAGGCAGCCTGATGACCCCATTAAATCTACAGGTCCTACGTGATTAGAGACAAGAACTGACTTCTCAAACTTATCCTCTGACCTCTGCATAGTGCTTTGGCACTGCATGTCCAAAAACATAGACAGGAAACGCACACACCAATCTATCAATCAAGAAATGAATAAAATTAAAAACCAGCAATACTCCAGTTCACTGATATTTCAGCCTATACTTACTTAGCTTCCACTTTTAATAGTTTGATCTTTTCTTAAAATTCACAATATAATGGAAGTTCACACTCTGTAATTGACAGATAATTCTTTTTTAACACCAGCTTTATTGAGATATAATTCTTATAGTATACAATTGTCCATTTACATTATGCAACCTTCCAGGTGTGGGAGCACACTCAGGATGCTGAAGCTACAAGTTTGTTGATGTGGAAAGAGCCTGTTCCAAATAAATAAATAAACAAAGATGACAATTTAGTAGACTTTAACTTATTGGTGGAGTCTAACAATAATTATCAAGTCATTTTTTTAATTAAGCATGGGGTTCAGTATGAGCACATGAGTACAGGTACACACAGACACCAGGGTGTTGGATCCCCTGGAGCTGGAATTACAGGTGGCTGTGAGCTGCCTGATGTGGGTTCTGGCAACCAAACTTAGTCCTCTGGAGGAGGAGTGAGTGCTCTAAACTACTGAACCCCCTCTACAGCCCAAACAAACAAACTTCAGACCTTCATCACGCCAGAAAGAAATGCTGCACCTTTAGTCTACACTCCTCACCTCCAATTTCCCCTCCACAAACCTCAAGAAAACACTATTCTAATATATATCTTTCTGGATTTGCTTGTTCATAGATTCAAATATTAAAATATATTATGTTCTTTATCTAGCTTGCTTAACTCAGAGTAACATTCTTCTTGTCAAATAATGCCTTAGTGATGAGTAAGCCATGCCAAACACTCATTAACCACAAACATTTAGATTGTATGCACTTTCACTACATAAAAAATGCTTCTCTGAAGATTCATTTATTGTCTTGGCAGACATCTTTTCATTTCTCATAGATATATATTTAAGACTGAGATTGATAAATCACATGGTAAGTCTGTGCAGGAAGTGCCAATGAAAGGTTCAATCCCCACTACTGATGATCTCAAACCAAAAAAGAGATCCATGATCAATTCCTCACACCCTCAGCAACACTTGAGGTCATCATCACTTCATCACCCTTTTCACATTATTGCATATGGGGGATTGTGTGTGCTTCAGTTGGCAAGAGGAGGTCACAGAACAAATCGGTGATGTCACCTCTCTCCTTCAATCATCTGGGTCCTGAGGATCAAACTCAAGTTCTCACACTGTGTGACAAGTGTTTTTACACACTGAGACATCTTGCCAGTTTCCCTTTACAAACGTTCTTAATAGAGATAAACGTTAGCAGGACATATGGAGATAGAATGGTGAATAACCATCTGTGTGTTCACTATGCAACCAATAGTCAAGAGTGTTTTGTTTTGAATGTACCACATTTATCTTCATCTGTCTTTTAAACACCTTTGACACACAGAAAAACAATGAGCCAAGATCACATGACTGGTCTTTGGGACTTCACCAAGGACTAGGTCATAAAGGTTTGTGGGGTAGATCTGGGGACACACCTTCTCTGGAGCATCCCACTCTGCCTCTCCTGCTGTGCCCGGTGGCCTTGCCTTAGCCAGGCAGCAGTGTTCCTCCCTGGTTTCAGCAAGATGATGTAGCACTTGGGAATGAAGATGCCACCCAGAAGGCCAGCAGTGGAGGCCAGGATGGAGAAGATCTCTACAGCCACAGTGGACTTGCCCCTGGCACTGTGATACAGGGGCAGGAAGGCTGTCCAGACACTGCAGAAGAGCAGCATGCTGAAGGTCAGGAACTTAGTCTCATTGAAGACATCTGGCAGGCCCCTGGCCAGAAAGGCCACAGAGAAGGTACCCACTGCCAGGAAACCCAAGTAGCCCAGCACACAGAAGAAGATGGTGCCAGAACCCTCCTGGCACTGGATGACAATGTGCTGGGGCTCCGAGACCATATCCCTGTCTGGGAATGGTGGGGAGGTGGCCAGCCAGACCCCACAAAGAACAACCTGCATGAAGGAAGCAATAAGGACCACTGAGGTGGAAGCCCCAGGGCTCAGGCATACCCGGATCCTGTCCCCTGGCCTGGTTACCCTGAAAGCCAGGACCACTGTGAGAGTCTTGGCCAGAACAGAGGACACAGCTACCGTGAACACCACAGCAAAGGTGGTCTGACGGAGGAGGCACGTCGAGACACTGGGTCGCCCAAGGAACAGCAAGGCACACAGGGCACAGAGGCAAAGAGAGAGCAGGAGTAAGTAGCTGAGACTTCTGTTGTTTGCCCTGACCACAGGGCTGTCTCTGTGCTTCAGGAACACTCCCAGAACCAGGACAGCCAGACCAGCCAGGAAGAGTGACACCAAAGCCAGCATGAATCCCAGAGGTTCCTCAAAGGCCAGGAAGATCTCTGTCCTGGGCAGGCAATGGTCTCTCGTGTGGCTCGAGTACTGCTCCCTGGGGCACAGAAGACAGCTCTTCATGTCTATGGGAGACACACAGACACCATTTCTGCAACACTAAATGAACTACACCAGCTCTGAAGGAAGGCGTCCCAAGCACTAACTGCTCTTACAGCCTTTCCATCAAGTCATGGATTTATGAATTATTCCTAGTGACCAGGGCCGGAATGGCTGACAATAGAGGCAGACACATAAAGGAAAACCTGCAGAGTCTGTATCTCTTTTATGTGAGGAGTTTTGTTTCTATCTTCAAACAGTGTCTCATGTAACTCAGGCTGGTCTTGAACTTGTTGAGTTACAGAGGATGACCTTCAACTCCTAAGCCTCCTTCCACATTCCCTCAAGTGCTGTGATTATAGGCCTGTACCACTATACCTAATTTGTGTGAGTTTGTGTATGTGCAGGTTTGTGTGTACACACATGTATGTAAGTGGATGCACATACTTGTCAAGACCAGACATTACCATCAGATATTATTGCTCAACCACTTCCCCTTCCTTATTTTTCTAATCAAACTTAGTTGTTTATTGTTTGTGTGTATGTTTGCATGGGCTCAGACATGCAAAGGTGTGCAAGTGGAGGTCAGTACAACTGTCAGGAATTTGGAGCTCACCTTCTTCCATGTGGGTCCCAGGTGCTGTACATACACTGTCAGGGTTGACAGTGAATACTTTAACTGATGAACCATTTCACCAGACTCTGAAGCTTAGTATTTTATAATTCCTTATTTTATTTTACTTGTAGACTCTTTTGTCTATACCTATGTATGGAACTCATGTGCCTGCCTTGTGCCTGCAGAACTCAGAAGATGCCATCAGTTCTCCTGAATCTGGAGGTACAGATGGTTGTGAACCACCATGGGTGTGTTACTAACTGTTGAGGCACCTCCTCAGCCCCCTTTTCACCTTAGGTTTTAAGACAGGATCTCTCACTGAACCTGGCCATCACTGAGTTGACTATACTGGCAGACCAAAATCCCCAAAGTTCCTTCTGTCTCTGCCTCCTGAGTCTGAGATTAGAGGAATGTGCCACTACAACCTGTCTCTTGTGTGGCACTCACGTGGGGCAAATTACAAAGACCTGGATGGCTCCCACCCTCTCCCCTGCTGGCGGGTACCTAAACCGGCCTGCACAGTTCCATATAACCAGGGAACGCCTACAGGGTTCCATTCCCAAAAAAGGGAGCAGCTAGTCCAGGTCAGTTCCCTAGCTTAGCCCCGGCTCCCACTCCCCACCATCTGGATTCCTGCCTGCAGCTGCAGTCAGCCAAGGTCTCCAGCAGGCCCTGCTTTGGAGCTATACCAACACCACCTTCTGGCTAAAAAGTCCTACTACACCCCCAGAATCACGGAAAGGTAAAGCAGAGTCTTATTTCAAGTAAAAGTACTTGATAATTTTATATTTTAAAATTGACTAATAAATTTTGAGTAATTCTTGTAATATGGCCAACAACATTACCTCACAAGAATTTAAAAACCTTTTGGCCTGTATGATGAATAACATTCCTCTGGAAATATACGACCTTCCTCAAGCATATCTGGCCTGTACCATTTTGACTTTCATCATAATAATTCACACAGTGTTCAAACACTGGTTTAATAATAAAAACAAAGATGAGTCATTATTGGGAGTGATACAGGCTTTAAAAGATAACAATGAGGCTTACAAAAAAAGAATCTCCTTCTAGAATCTGCTTTCAAAGACAACAATAAAGGCTTACAGAAAAAGATTCTCTTTCTGGAATCTACTTTCAAAGATAACAATGAAGGCTTACAAAAAAAAAGATTCTCTTTCTGGAATCTGCTTTCAAAGATAACAATAAAGGCTTACAGAAAAAGATTCTCTTTTGTGGTGGTATTGTGTTTCCCAAAATATTGTGTACTCTAATAAATTTAGCTGGGGTCAGAGAACAGACAGCCACTAGATACAAAGGCTAGAAAATGGTGGCACTCACACCTTTAATCCTAGCATTCCAGAGATAGAAATCCCTCTGGATCTCT